TCTGCTCCTGGGGGGCTCCTAGCCCGGCCACCGCCTCCCCCTTCTCAGGCCTTCTCCGGAGGCCGCAGCCTCCAGGGCCCTGCTCTCCCCCTGGGTTCTGGTCACTCCACAGCCCTGAAGTCACTGCTGGAGCCACCACCTATAAGGGGTCCCACTTCAGCACCTGTTAATCCCCTCAGTGTCTGCTTGTGACTGGCCCGTGTGGCCCTCCCTCAAACACCTGCCTGCAGTCACACCTACTTCACACACGCACCTGTCCCCACACCTGCCACTCTAGACACCTGCCTCCCCTGCACACCTGCCTCCTTCACACACCTGCCTCACACTCACACACATCCTCCCTCACACATGTCCCTGCCCCTCCATCAGGCCCAGACAGAGTTGGCAGAGACCAGCACTCCTTGTGGCAAGGCCAGTCCCATCCCCCACGGGACACTCGGCAAGACCCTGTCTGTCCATATTCGGCTTCCTCATCCTAAGACCTGAGATCTCCCCCACCTCCCACTGCTTCTGGCTGCCACTGTAACACCAAAGGTCCAAGGCCAGCTGCTGAGAGTGAGGATGGTGCCCTCCTGCCCCACCCCCCACCCCAGCGCCAGGGCTGCTGGGCCACCTCCCAATGGACAGAAGTAGGGGGGGCCCTTCCTCCCAATGCACGGAAGCTGGGGCCTCCCACGGGAGCCAGGCAGGAAAAGGGTGGAGGAGAAGAGGGCGGGAAGGAAGGCAGAGTCGGAATTCCAAAGGGAAGGGGCCAGGCGGGAGGCATCTGGGAGGAGGAGGGGCCCTGCGGGCTGGGCTCCTGTCACCCTGCTTGGCTGAGGACCTCTCCTCAGAGAGTGTCCTAGCAGATCTGCTGTTTGGGCCAGGCCTTCTCTGGGCAATTCTTGCAAATGCTGGGAGAGTCGAGTCCTGGCCAAGGCACAGCCTACCCTGAGAAGCCCATGGGTGCTGCTCCAGGGCAGTGAGCCTGCGATCCTCCAGGTGACCCAGTGCAGGGCCCTGAGTGCCAGCTCTCCACGGCCCTGGCAGAACCTGCTGGGCATGGCCAGGCCAGGGCCAGCCCCTAGGACCACCCCACCGTCCGTGGCAGCACCAGCTTAGATCCCTCTGGCCGGAACCTCTACACTCAAGGATGCTGGAATATACAGCCGGCCAGGACCCCACTGTGCCCAAGCCAGGGCCAGCAGGAGCTGGCTGAGCCAGAGGCGGCCTTGTCCCCAGCACTGCGATAAGGAGGTCGTCCTGATGGCCATCGACAGCAGTGGCAGCTGCAGCTCAGGGCTGCCAGAACCATGATGCCCTGGCCAGCTCTGGGATGTGGGCCATGTGGGGGCAGGGAGGTGACCCTCTGACCCCCTGGGTGGGTCGATGGCGACACATTACAGGCCTGAGTTGGGAACACAGAATCGATTGGCTCTAATGCCATGGAAGGGAGCCAGTTACCCCCTCCCCCAGGCTGCATGCATTCTGGGGGACACAGAGGCACAGCATCCTGGGGTCACTCTAGGATGTCCTGGTCCAGGTTCTACTCAGGTGTGGGCTGCTGGGACAGCGGGAGTGCAGCCTGGTTGGGGAGGTGGGCAGAATTCCGAACCCCCGCCCCGGCAGTGCCTCCCAGGCAGGACAGAAGCCAGTGGGTCTGAAGCGCCTTTGTTTTCTGTTAAGAGCCAGTAGCCGACCAAGCAGGCAGATCACTTTTCCGGGTTGTCCACAGGACTGTTGGCCAAGGCCCCAGAGAGCCCTTCATTGGCCTGGCCTGGGGCAAAGTCATGGGCAGCTGAACTGCAGAAGAACCCTGAGGACTGTTCCCTACCCTGGGCCTTGCAGGGACCAGCCCTCTCTGGGACAGGGACTGAGGGCTGCGGGGACTTCTGAGGAGGCAGCCGGAAGCCCCTCGGCTCCCAGCCACGCCAGAAGCACTCCAGGCCAAATCCGGTCCCTCCCCTCTGGGAACAGCAAACAACTTGCCTGCCACCTCCTCCAGCCTGTCAGCCAGGGAAGCCCCGTGGCCTTAACCGCAGCCTGTCCACATTCCTGCTCCTGACCACTGTTCCTGGGATGACCCGGGACCTGGAAAGGGTCCCTGTCTGTCCCAACCCCTCCGCCATCCTCACTTCTGGCACTAAGTCTCTCTGATGCAGGAGCTGGTGGGCGGGTGGGCAGGGAGTTTGCCACTCTGGCAGAGATGGGGAGAGAATCGGCCAGGAGGAGCCTGGTAGGAGGGGAGTGGCCCAGGGACAGTGAGAACTAGGGTGGGCACCTGAAGGCAGAGGGCTGCCGACGCAGGGGCATCCTGACCTTGAGGAAACAGGGGGCCTGGCCACCCAGGCTGCCTGGGCACTGGTGCCCTCTCCAGCTCGTGGGGACTCGCGAGTCACTCCCACCCCACACCCCACACCCTTGTGAAACTCCCGAGGGAACTCGCGCCAGAGAAGGGAGCACGTTGGGACAGGCAGGAGGTAGAGGCCAAGGTCGTCGCCCCCGCTTGGACTGAATCCCAGCAGAGCCCAGACCCGGCCCGGCCCAGCTTAGGCAGCGGTCTGAGTGGGGGCTGGGGGTCACCGCTCGGGCCACGCCGGCCCGTCCTCGTGTTCGCGGGGCGGTCGGTCAGGGCGCAGCGGGGAAGGGCCGCGACAGACAGGGGCTCGTGGGAGGCGCCCCCAGCCTGCCGCCCCGCGCGACCCTGCCGTACGGCCAAGGGC